AATAAAATATGGAGTACCACAAGGCAGTATTCTTGGACCCTTGCATTTTCTTATATATATAAACGAATTGCCCTCTTCAATTAATATGAAGACTATCTTATATGCCGACGAAACAACATTTTATACGAGGGTAAGACAAGGAGAGGAAACCACCGTTATCCAGGACATAACTAAGTCAGCTAATGATTGGTTTAACGCAAATAAATTACAAATCAATAAAGTGAAAACAGCTTCTATGATATTCTTAAACCAAGGAAATGATGCTCAGTCGTTAAAGTTTTTAGGAATTCAGTTGGACTGCAACTTGTCGTGGAAAACTCACACAGACAATCTTTCGAGTAGGTTATCAAAGGCCAGTTATGCTATTAAACAAGTTAAAATTAATTTAGGTAGGGAAGCGGCTATCATGACATACCATTCACTATTTCATAATGTTATGACATATGAATTATTAAATTGGGGACACTCTTTCTACTTACAGTCTATTTTTTTACTCCAAAAAAGAGTAAGTAGAGCAATTATAGGTTTAAACAGATTGGAAAGTTGTAAACCGTGGTTTGTACAGCTAGGTATTTTGACGTTACCTTCATCAGTCATATATACTAACTTGGTATTCATAAAAGAAAATATCAGCAACTATCAGACACTTAGTGATAATCATAATTATAATACAAGAAATAGAGACAACCTGCTGATTCCACAACATAAATTAGCAAGTACTAGTCGCAATTATCTAGGAATGAGACTGTTCAATAAATTAACTATTGAAATGAAAGATACACACCTGGAAATATTCAAAAAGAAACTGAAGAGTATTCTGTTGAGGAAAGCCTACTACGAAGTAAATGATTTCGAATTGTCCTAAGTTAATTTGAATTACAATTCCTGTTATTTTTTCATTCTTTTGGTTAAATTTGTTTCAAATTATTACATAATACTCCTAACTCTTATTTATAAATATGACTTACAGATTTGTTAATAATCTATATGGACCTTAATATGTTTATGTTTCACTTTTAAATTTTGTTTCATATGTCATGTGTTAGNAGGTCCGTATTTAAAAATTCAAAGATGGGGGTGGCCCAAGTCTTATGACACCCTGTATAAAAGATTCATGGATACATTCTGAGAGATCATATCAAGTGCCAATAGCAAAATGTGGACAGATTTTCAATATGTCTGCAAATAAAGAATATATAGACAAAAAACTAGTTTCGGATTGTTTGGTTTTTCCTGTATATCTCCAGAGCAAGAAGAGCTATATTCGATTTTTTCAAATCATTGAACAGGTCTCTGAAATACGCAACTTTGAAATATTCAAACCGACACTCTATATCTTATCGTTTACGAAATCCCCATGTATATACAGAAACGAATTTGAATAGCCCTGTATATACATAAGTAAAGGTAGAATTTTAATTTTTCAATATCAAATCGTCGTTTTTCCCATCACAGAAAAAAGTGTGTATTATACACGGGAAAAAAGTATTAGATTTTAGCTCTCGGTTTTTTGTCTCTCTCCGCTTCGCGTCGGGAGACAACACAACCTCGAGCTAAAATCTAATACTTTTTCCCTTGTATAATAAATAACTATTATTTTCGTAAATGATACCTCATGATTGTCCAACAACCCAATTTTGGTACTTATACCAATGACAATATTTTGTTACTAACAGCAGAAAGAGAAAATTGCGTAGGGATTTGAACTCGTGAAACCCGTGATCATCATGCTGTACCACTCACTTGACACCACTGAGCTATTTGGTATTAATTTACAAAACGATAATTTCCATCTCACAGCCATTCCATTTTATTTTGTAAATCAAAATAATATGTTTGCTATAATTATAACATTGAAGCTGTTTTCGTACGGATTACGCGGTTGAAAAAAATTTGATTCAATAAAACAGAATTATTATGAGTAATCAAGTTGCCTTCAAACTTTGTTGAAATACTATTTATCGAAAAATATTCTCAAGTATATCAAGGCAATGCCATGAATTATTGTAACTGTCAACTACTGTTCGAATATTTTTCGA